GTGCGTCGGTGTGATCTTCTCCTTCCCGAAGGAGTCGTGCAGTCATCACTACTAACTCTAGGCATGCGCAACCCATAAGATCAACGCCTAGCTAACCTGAAATCATTTACAATACACAGAGCCTAGGGTTCAGTACAAGTAGGAGGTCGCGCGGGAGGGGCATGTGTACAGCGTTCGATGCGTTCTGTGTGCAGCTACCCTCGACATGGAAATGACTTACCACAGCCGTGCTTCACATGGGTAAAGTTCTCCCGTCGAGGACCTACCAGTACAACCGGAGTGGAGTGACGAACCACCGGCAACCGACAAGGGTGTGCTTTGGGCGTGCTCCTGCGAAATTTTAGTTTGCAACCAACAATTTATTCTGATATTCTTGCCCAATAAATAGCCACAATCCCAAAAGTCGCTGTAAACGACCTCAAGGAGGTCGTCCAGAGCGGTTTTTGCAAAAGTCGATGGAAACGATTTTGATTGGCTACTTTTCCAAAAACGCTGACACAAAAGTCGCTCCGAACACGCCCTAAACGTTGTGTGCAAATAAATTCCTTCAACGACAAACACACATTGGTTGCCATCGGCGACAGTGTTTCGCCAGGGCAGTAATCTAGTACCTGTCCAATTTGAACCAATGAGGTTGTACAAGCTGCTTTGATTTGTTCGAATCATACTTGGCTTGCGACAGTCATGACAATGTAACGTTATTCTTGTGAAAGTTGCTACTGTACTTGTAAAACCCAGGACCGTGTTAATTGGTATCACAATGGTGGTTTACTAGGCGGACCAGCTAAAGGCGACTCTTTTAACCTTCGACTATACGCCGTGGCGCTCTGAAACTTCTTCTTTTTATCTGGCGACGCACCGCCAGCTGAGTCGAGTAAGGCGGCGTCGAGGGCTGCCTGTGCCTCCTTCACACCGCCCGCCACTAGTTGGTCGGTCGAAGTGGTCATCTCAGCCCCGCTGGACGTTGGTCGCTGCTCCTCGCTGACTTTCATGTGGGGCACGGATGCCGACCTCTCCAGAGCCTGCTTCCGAGTCTCAGCACCAATCACCTCACATGTTCACAAAAGCATCGTACCGCATCGTCCAGCGGCGGCAATGCCGTCTTCTTGGACTTGGTCACCGACAGCTCCAACCCCCCCGCGCGCCCGTTCCAGTGCAGTTCCTTTTCCTTAAGCTTCTCTCGGTCCAGTTGCATTTGCTTTTTCTGTTTCTGCAATCGCTGCCACTCGCGCTTCTTCTCTTGCACAGACACATTCGCCAACGCCAGTGCCGACGGTCGTTTTGAAAACAATTCACTGCCCGGTCCTACCGCATGCAGACACGTTATACCAACCACTCTTGTCACGTGCATAATTTATTATTAATAAATCCATCATTTATTTTTCATAAATCCACCATTTATACGTGTATACATATCCGCCATTGAAATTCGTCAAGTATTTCATACAGTCCCATCCATATCTACTACTGTATCACATAGTTTGATTAATTGAGTTTGGATTATCATTTTTAAGACATTCCTCCGCGAGGGCCGACACGCGGACGGGGAGATTGTTTTGTATCACATAGTTTGACATACTATTTAATACTTCGAAGTACTTCGAAGTACAGTATAGTATACTTCGAAGTGTCAGATATCCAATGTATGTCATATGAATTAGTTACTATATACTAGCAGAATACTTCGAAATATCAGATATCCAATGTATGTCATATGAATCAGATATCACTTGGTGCATCCGAAGTGTTCACATAATGTATCAGAATTTGTTTCATATAACAAGCGTATGCATCAGCTACTACTATACTACGTAGTATTCGTTCCAATGCAGAGTAAACACACATATCTACCGTTTGATAAGGGGCCACCTCCAGGCCGCCCCATCAACTCGTCTGGCATTTCCATGTCGTTTTTCTTGGCTTGGTTTTCTCGTACGTCGATCACGCACACCGTCTCCACCTGCACAATGCCGTCGTGGTTGTTGTTGGTCGCCTTGTTGGCCCCGAGCGCTTCGATTTTCCCCCCCGCGTGCACATACACATGTCGGATGCGGGGGTTCCGCTCCAACGCTTCCGTGAGTACTCGTATGCCGTCCTCGCCCACAAAGTTCTTGCGCAGGTCAATATGCGACAATCCACAAGTTGTCGACCCCAAAATGGCTGCGATGGCCCGCGCCCCTTCGCCTGTTGGCCACACGAACAGACAAATTCCATATCAATATGCAATAGTGTACGGAGGATCCTCTTGAAATGGAATCGACAAGGACACTGATACATAACTGATTTCGTACTGGTGATGGCATTTCCATGCAATTGCAAGTCGTGAATTGAGCTGTTGTTGCGTAAAAGCGCGGCGATCGCGTGTACTTCTTCGTCGCCGATGCCACTTTCCGGCAACTTTAGGCACAACTTGGCGTCGCCGTCCGCCGACACTTGGGATTTTACTTCATGCACGTAGCTACAACACCACCGTTGTTTACCATAAAACATAAATCGACCATTCTAAAGGCGACGTTGTGTGCGCACCGAATCAACGTTTTTCGTTTAGCGTCTTCTTCGGTGGTGAGTTTATCCTGGAGCCACTGGCACTTCTTGCCCACATGGTCGAGATGATCCTGCTTGCTTTCAAGCACTTGTTGGACAGCTAAAGTCGCTTCCTCCCCGACCATCAACTGGTGGCACATGAGGGCAATCTTTTCCACGAGGCGGTGCTTGGTGTTTTGCTGCTTTTGCGCCCACTTCAAGTACGCGTTGATGCCGAGCTTGTCGAGGTACTCGGGGCATCCATGGGTGCTTCGCTTGGGCTTGACCACGAGCAACCCCCCGTGCGACGCCCGACACTCGACAAAGAACCGCCCGGACGCCTCTGCCTCCTTGTCGTCCGCGTACCCTTCGTGGTGGCCGCTGCGATTGTTGCTGTTGTTGGCCGCATCCAACTCGATCAATGGCTCTTCTTGCATCGCTTGAGTGACCATTTTGTGCTGCAGTGCGTCGAACTTGATGGTGAGTGTGTCCAGCTCGTCCTAGCCATCGAATGTGAACCCCAATGTGCAGCTATATATATATATATATTAAATTCACATTCTAGCAATTGTATTGCTGGTTTTTCATTCAAAAATGCCCCAATCACATGGGCTGTATGCAGTAGGTATAAGCAAAATGGGTTTCCCGTAGTCTGTCAACTCGTAGAAAAATACCAATGTACACGTAACGGGCGTAACGTTAGCACACAAAATAGTGTGATGAACATCATAAAGCAGCAAACACAAACTACAGCCTAAATCGATACATAGGAACATCCAGAAGTCCAAGTTTTGGGTGTATACCTGCTTAGACCGCAACGCTTCGGTGACCACCCGATTGCTTTCGCCAGTGGTGTTGAGTTTCTGGGTCAGTTCCGAGTTTTTGTCTTGCATGCTCAAAATCTGCGCGTGCATTTTCTTCATGTCTTCCTTCGTGCACAGCTTGGCTTCTTCGTCCGCTTGCATTTTGTTGAGCAAAAAGCTCACGCGGGAGCTCATAGTTTTAAGTTTCTCTGCCAGTTGGCCGCGTTCTTCGGCCTCTTTGAGCTTGCCCTTGACTTCATCTCGGCAACGAATGCTCAGCTGGTTGTTGTGTTTCTTGAGTGCGTGCAACTGCTCAAGCAAAACGTCCTTGTCCATTTCGATCTTGACGCGGGACTTGCCTTCCTGGGTCACGTCTTTGAGTAGCCGTGCGTTCTTCTTTTTCAACGAAATCATTTCCAGTTCTTTTTGCTTGAGGGCGTCCAGCGACTTGGTTTTGCCCAACTCGGCCAGTTTCAATCGCTCCAGCAATTGAAACACCTAGACGTAGGCACCACGTAGTCATGATGTCACGGCTAGAACTCGATATTTTTCATCGTACCTTTTCCGCCATTTCTCGCAGTTGGTCGGCCGAGTCTCGGTTTTCCGCCTCCATCCGTGTCCTTTCTTGTTCAGCTTTATCCAATCTGCTTTGTAGTGAGGTCTTATCGGACGCCAGTTGGTCATTGTCCGCCTACAAAACGCCATCGATAGCATCCCCCAAGCCCCCCAAACAAACAGAGACCCGCCGCCATGAACATGACAAAACGGTGGGACCTGCCTGCAAATGCTTGTTGGCGTCAATCTGGGACCGTTTGGCCTTGGATTCAAGCTGCAGTTGTGTGTCTCGTTCTTGGCCTTGCTCGAGCAGCTGCCGAATCTTGTCCTCCATGCCATGCAGCGTATCGTCGCTCTGCCGCTTCGCTTCTTCCAACGACTGAATCTTTTCCAGCAATTGGTACTGCTTTTCCTTGCGCACCTAACGCCAGCAATCCCGTTTTTGGTTAGCCTGATTATACCAGAATACAAGGAGATATAAATGTCATCATATTACGCGCAGTTGTTCGTGCAGCGATTCCAATTCGACTTGGGCCTTCATTTTCAGCTCGTTGTTGGACGTGCGCAGTTGGTCCGTGTCGATTCGTAGCAGCCGCACCTATGAAAAATCCATACTGAATCCAAGGCTATGACGTGGCAGCACGTACTTCCTCGGCGCGCAGTTGCCCATCGCGCATCGCCCGCCCGGCCATCTCTTCGTGCATTTTGGCAGTGGTCATGAGCGACGCATACTTGCTCGCTAGCGTTTCCATCTCGACTTTCATCGTAGCATTTTCTTTGCCGAGGGCCCCCGACTGCCCTTCTTCGATCTCCAACAACCGGAGCAATTCGCCGTTGTGGTCTGTGAGTACTTTGATTTGCATTTCCCGCTCCTCCATGTTGCTCTACCACGCCCATAATGTCATAGCAACGACTGAACCCAAAGACGAAGCATCCTCCCTACCTCGGCCTTCTTGACCACAGCATCCGACGCACGACTGCGGCTCTGCAGCTCAAAGTTGGCGTCCCGCAAGCTCCTGTTCTCGTCGTCGCTGTGAAACTTTTCCATCTTGAGCGTTTGCAGCTCATCGTCCAGTTGGTTCAATGTCGCGAGCAGCTGCGTGTTTTGGTCGCTCAGGATCCGCATTTGTTCGTCTTTCATTGCCAGCGCCTCTTGGGTCCGGCTTTCCTTGTTGCTCTTGGCATTAGTAGTGCCAATGGAGGAGGAGGGTTTGACCAAACTCGAGATGGACGACGCCCGTGTTAACGGTGATTGCTGCGGGGGGGCCTGAAGGAATCATACTTCAAGGACTGGTTGGGGGCGAGAGCGGATGGAAGTACCTGGACGGCGGCTGGTCGTGAGGGATCGATGGGAGACGTTGACCCTGTCTCATGATCATGGTCCATGGCAAAGGAACACGCGGCGCCAACACGGGCGGCGTCAAGTGTATTGATCGCCGTTTCACAGTCTAATTATACCTTTATGGTACCTCAACAGCGAAACCATTCAAGGTACTGCTGCTGGCAACGTTGCTATAGGCAGGCTCGAGGTTGTAGTTGTCTGCAAACATTGACATGGGTGGTACGCTAGGGTGTTGTGAAGAAGTGGCACCTAGGAGCCTGCTGTACCATTCCGTACTTGCAAAGTTGCCTTGGCAGTTAGACCTTGCGAAGTGTAAGGGCTACGCTGACTACGCCCAGCAGGCCAATGGGGATGTCGCAGCATGAATGTAAGAAGCACAACAAGTACCTGGAGAAGGCGGTTGACGGCGCCAATGAAGTGAGTACTTTTCGACCAGGCAACACACCAGCACGTTAGTTTCCGGATAATGGCGCCTGAAACTGAAACCGTCAAAATCCACGAGTGGGAAGGAAAAGGCGATGTGCAGTGCAAGCGTGGTCGTCTTTATCGTGGATGGGGTGAACTTTGCCCTTGGCCCTCTATTGGTGTGCTTTGGGCTATCGCTCCTGACGTTCCTTGTGGCGTGCTTCTACCTGTGTATCCTACCACTCGTAACGACTTGGCCATGGTCATTGGGTTGCATGGGGGCGTACCTGTTCCTCCAAGTGGGCCTGCATTACATCCTCTGCATATCCACCGACCCTGGTCGACTCACTCGTGGCCACCCACTCAGTGAGAGTGACGAAGGCTTCGACGACCAAAGTCGAACGGATCTTCCTGTGTGCCAGTATTGTGACGTGGCCAAGCCACCACGCACGCACCATTGCCATTCGTGCGGCACCTGTGTACTTGACATGGATCACCATTGCGTGTGGATGCACAACTGCATTGGGCACTTCAACTACCGTACGTCTTCTCTTCCAATCTAGCGCCATGAACTACTACAACCAACTAGCATGCGACCATGTTGTTCCTAGGTTACTACTGGCGTTTCCTTCTCTTCACATGGCTCGCATGTGCCTTCGTCGCGGCTGCCTCGCATCATTCCATTCAAGCGATGGCAGATGGAGACAGCGAGCCTTCTTATTTCAAAGCGTGCGTGCGGTTGCCCTACGTCCTCTGCCTGTGCATTGGACTGGTCGTGTTTGGATTGTGGCTGTGGCATGTGTACACCGTTCTCGCAGGCGTGACCACGTTGGAAGCAGTCATCTTATATCGGCAAGGGTTACTGTACCATCATTACAGTCCAATTTGACCGTCTCATGTAGTAACAAGCAAAAGTCCAAGCCGTTGACGTGGGCCACCATGCAACACAACGTGCATCGAACGATCGGCCCTATGTGGACCACAGTTCTCCCTCCCTTTACGAACCCGTTCCCTTGGACAACTAATCGACCAAGGATATGGTCAAGGGGGCTGGTAGAGCGTAATTCCGTCGTCTAAGTAGTCAACTTGAATGCGCTCGAAAGGTCTTTTCTGGAGCTTCTGGCCAACTACAAACACATTATTTCACAGTGACGTTGCGGAAACGACAACAGTTGATTCAATTTGCATGTTATGTAGGATTATCCACGTCGTCGCTACTACTTGTTTGCCACCTTGAACGCTTTCTTCATCATTTTCATCTGCACGGTGTTTCCAATGCGAGAGTATCCTCCAGGAGCGGGGGGTGCAGGGGGGGCCGCCGAGGACCTAGCCATGCGGGCGCGAGGCGCTGGGGCCGGCGACCTCTGTGCGAACAAGTCGCCGATGTCCACATCGCCACTCTCTTCAACGTCACCACTCTCTTTATCCTCATCTTCATTGTCACTTCCAAACGTCCCCGCCGCACATTCCATGTCGAGGCTCTCTTCTTCGACTTCAATGTTGTTTTGGCGCTGCATCCAATGGGATTGGATCTTTTGCTGCATACGGCCGTGGCCGCGGGTCTGGTACGTTGTTTGCGTTTGCATATTGGCCGTGCATTCGTTTAAGTCGGCGAGCAAGTGCGCTGCTTGTGCCTTTGCTGGGGCACCGAAAGAAGCCATATCCTGCATCACCGACGTAATCACATTCTGCAGCGCTTGGCGGCCTTCACGCAAGTTGCCCTTCTTCGCCTGTTGTTGCGCTGCTTCGATAGCTTCCACCGCAGTCACGCGCAGCTTTTGCGCCACAACAGACTCGTCCACGACGTTGTCGTTGGTTACAGCCACAGGTCGAGCCACGGTCACGGTCGTGCTGGCCTTTTCCATCGTCGACTGCAGCACATTCACGTAGCGCATTCGAAACTCGACCAGGTCCATCTTCTCGGCGGGCGTTTGGGGCGTCAGCTGCACTTGGACCAGCAAATCGCGCGATTCTTCGGCAAACATGTCGCCCATGTCCACTTCAAAGTGCACTTGGTCAGTGATCGTCGTGACCGGGCGTTTGGTCTTGATGCATGCGATCAACGCCCCAGGACTTGCGACAACCTCGACCTTGATGTTCTGACCCACGACACTCAGCAGACCCCCCAAGCAACTCGCAAATGCCAACGCCACTCCGTCCACGTTCTGGACAAAGTAGTATGACCCGCGGCCAATGTCTGCCAGTCGGCCCAGAAGCGAAGCGTCGTGGTCTGAACCGTAGCCAAAGGTGTGCAACGACACTTGCGGTGCCAGCAGCCCATCGAGCAACTTGGCTAACCCGTCGGCACTCGTCACGCCTTCGTTGGCTTGACCATCGGTCAAGAGAAGCACGGACTGCACGGGGTTCGGCTCGCCGTTGTCGAACCGGGTGGGCCGCTGGATTTCGTCGACACCAGCCAAGAGACCGCCGCTCAAGTTTGTGCAACTTCCGGCTTGAATAGCCGCCACTTTTGCGGCCAGTTTGGCTTTGCCGTCGGCGTTCATTTTGGTCAAATGGAGGTCCGTGGTCACGTACGTGTCGTACGATATGAGCGCCACGCGATCGTGTGGGGCGAGCTGCTGGGCGAGGAAGTCCATGGTGCGCTTGCACAGCGATAGCTTGTCGCCGTGCATACTGCCAGATCGATCCAGGACCACCACAAGGTCGACTGGCTTGCGGTCGTTCTCTTCGACGGCCGGCGCAGCCAAGTGGCAGTTCACAAACGTGGTCTCGGCGACGGAGGCAGCGATCTCACGGCGTTCGGCGGTAGAGGTAAGGAGAATGGATGCCTTGGAGTCGATGCTGGGAGATGGGGTGGATGTGACGGGAGGCACGAAGGGGGACATGTTGCTCGGGGGCTTCGAAGGGAAATTGTAAAATGACCACCTTCCACGATATCGAATTTGTGGGAGAGTGAAAAGTACTACTATGAATGCAGGTGACCATCACTTGCATTTGAAAGTTCTTCCATGCGAGTAACGATCCTTCGAATTATTCCATACTAGTACTACAATTAACGTTGCATATGTTTTGTAGCAATTTGCACCTGATGAATGAAGTTCGGATTTTGGATGAAGAGAAGGATGGACCTGCAAACGGCGGCATGTTAGCACTCTTCGGGTAGGTACTTCTTGCATCGGAAGCACTGCGCAGCTAACGATATGGTGAAGAGAGCGTTCAACGTTTCGAACATTGTTGTCTCAGTGGAATGGGAAATCGGTAGTCCGTAGCAGAGCTAACGTTATCGTAGGTTGGGCTTTGCGTCGTGTCGTGACCCGTGTCAACGGTTCGAGCTTTTGCTGACATGATGAAAGCGCCATACAAAGCGAGACCTGATCCATCTCTACTTCACCACTGGCATGCCATGTCCGTCTCAAATGTAGATGGTTTCAGTAAAAGATCGTTGACTGTGCTTGGCTGCGTCTCCATCTACCACAACCAAACTGAACGCTTCGTCGTGGCCATAGCGAACCATTAACAAACCCTTCCACTACACTACCGCGTCTGGAAGGATGTGACCCTTCTGAGACTAGTACACTCCACCATACACTGGAAATGCCGTCAGCATTATTACAACATGCAAAGTCGTCTCAGCCAACCTCGCATGCCTTGTCGCTGCGTCATTTTGTACCATCGTGTTTACCTTAAAAAATATACTGGAGCATTGACCAAATCAATATGTGGCCCCGCGGTTTCATATCACACTGAAACGCTTGCGGTTATAAATACGCCTGATCTGCACCGATTTTCCAAAGGCCTTCTACTCGCTGCATCGGCAGTCCGTCCTGCCATGGAAGATGGATATGTGCCGCTGATGCTCCTGTGGATCTCATACCTTTATATGCCTGTGGCGGTGGCAGTGTACCTCTACCATCGCGAGCGACCCTCCATCAAGCACCGGCTTCCCATAGGCACCGCCAGCGCTGGCCTATTCGCATCCATCTACTGCCTCGCGCAGCCCTTGTGTGCGTACTTCAGCGAAAGCACGTCTTGTGGGTCTGTCACAGTCGTCGCAGGTTTAGCACTCTGACACGTTCTTAGGTCTGCGCTGCTTATCCTGACAATCACAAGCAACACCGCCGTAGCTGTACTAGTGTGGACGGCGTTTGTTGTGCTGGTGCTGTACAGCATCACCGAGATCATCGCCCAACCCACCAACGTCTCGCACGATCGCGTAGCCGTGTGGAACTACTTTCGCGGCATGATCATCCCAAGCATCCAAGTACCCGTTGGCATTTGCGTGTGCGTGCTATGGAATTTCCCCCACATTCTGCTGCTCGCGCTCCATGCGACAACCATTTCCCAGCTCAGCTACGCCGAATGCATCACTGTACGTACGCTCCCTATGACCTCTCATCGTCCATTGACACTAATTGTAGATGGATTTTTTCAACCTTATCATGTACATCTCAATCGGCCAAGCTGCGGTGCTCCTTGTCGGCTGCCTCTTCATAGGACACCAGCTCCGCCACACGACCGACACATACCACGTTCGGTGGTCATACGTGTACACAAGCATGTACATGGTCGTGTGCTCGAGTCTGTGCCTTCTTTACTGGCTCGTGTCGACATACTCGTCTGCTCTCACCGGCTTCCACGTCATCGAAGTGATGACCACCCAAGGATTACAGGGCATCGTGTTCTTCAACATTTTGTTACCCCTTGTCAGTGCCTACAAGGACCGTCACAAGGTCAAGGACCTCACTGGCAGCACGTCGCTTCAAGTACGTACGACAACCGCTTTCGTCGTGACGATTTGTCTGTCTTGCCTTGTGATTGTCCAAGGATTGACATGTTTTGTGTTGTTAGGTGAACTGGGACTCGTACTTGCAATCCAATGAGGCGTATTTGAGCTACATGGAGTTTTGTCACGGCCACACCGCGATCCTCTTGGCGTGGAAAGCCTCGGTGGACTTTCGAAACGGAGACGGCAAACTCAACGTGTTTGAAGTATACCAAATGCACATTGCCCCCGACGGCGCGTTCACCGTCTACGACGACCTCCCCGACTTGTTGCGACGCAAATACACCAAGAAGATCCACCGCCTGCGTCAAAAGGCATCGCTCGTCATGACGAATGTGTCCAAGGTGGTGCCCATGCCAGAAATCGTAGATGCTGATTTTTACGAGCCCCTTCGCCGCGAACTGGTGGGTGATTAATTTAGCTAACCCCCGACGACCTGGATCTGCCGATGATAACGATGGCTGCAGGTACTCATAATGGTCACGTCGTCGCTGGCACTGTACGAGAAGGATGAGCTGGGCAAGGACTGGCTGTCCTTTCACACGCGACGGCGATCGATTCACAGCTTGGAATACGTTCAAAAGGTTGCAAGCAAAGTGGACGTCCTCCGAGAGAGCGTCGCTGTCAAGCAGCCCAAGGCAGAGCCGTTGTGGGGGTCAGTTCTGCACTCCAAGTCGTCCGACACGCAGTTGGTCAAAGACGAGATTTTGAACGCTCCCGAAGTACGTCTACGTGACGGTGGCACTTGTGTGTTGATATTTGCTACGTATTAGAGTCCCAGACGAACGGCGGGAGGCTCGGGAAAGTTCGCCACGGAAGTTCCACATCGAATAGAGAGCGGAAGCGCTCGTAAAAGTGCAGGAGATGAAAGGAGAAAGCGAGGAAAGAGTCAGGATGATGGGGTCGCAGCCGCCAACGACGAGGGATCGGGTGGCGCGATGCGAAAGATCTTCTTTGAATGACGAAACTTGAAACGGTCGACGCTCTGATTGGTTGAATTGGATGAGTAAATCCGTTGAGTAGCCAATAATACGTCGAGAGTGCTCCGAGCTTGGGAAATACTGGGATTAACTACACATTTCCAAGGGCCGAAAAACGCTGGATATGCCGCCGAGCAACAACTCGGTGGGCCAGGCTTTGGTCTACCTCCGGCCACTTCGCCATATGTACTTCCATCATTTATCTCCGTTCTTTCCACAACTAACCCCATCCAGGTTCGACGTGGTCACTACCGTGCCAGTGTTGAACGACGACGGCACGTCGCTCGGGTCCCTAGTCATTCACGTGCGTCCATCTGTGAAAGCCACGCCATCTGACGCTCTCAAGAGCCGCGGCAACAACGCTAAGCTCGTACCCGGAGATGTGGACGACTTGTCGGACGACGAGGCAGACGATCTCACGGCTCTGGACGGGGCGTTCCTGTGGATCTTCATCGATGTCCACGTGGACCCATCCACGCCGTCGCAACTTCTGACCAACTCGTCCAAGTACCGCGTCTCATACACCTTTTTCCAGTCCAACGCGCAACTTTTCCCGCTAGAACATACACATGTAGATGAGGCTACACGGTCTTCGTGGCCCCATTGCGTTCATCTTTGCGTGTGTTCATTAGGTGCTCAAAGTGCTGGTGACACCACCGTTCGTGGACTACGTGAGTGCGGATATGATGAGCTTTGACGTGGTACCCCATGTCGACTCCTTGGACACTACGGCGCCATGCAAGGACGACTCCATGTCGCACACAGCCTTGTTGGAGGAAATCCAGCGAGATAAAGCAAAGTTGGCCCAACAGCACGAAGCCGAGAAGCAACGAAACGACCAATTATGTGGGGAATTGAGCAAATTAATCGACCATGTCAAGGACCAGGAAGGCGCGATGTTGCAGCAGGTTAAGACGGGTCAATCGGCGACGACCGAAGTCGTGGTATGTCAATGCGATCATCCGTCCTATTATGCATCTCCCTGTAACGTTACATGCTAATACGAATGGCTGGGGTAGAGGCTACAGGAAAAGGCGAGGGCGGACGCACGCGAAAAGGAGCTCCTGCTCAAACAAGTTACGGACGCCGACTCCAAGTACCAGACGCTTCTCGACAGCGCCAACAATAAATCCAAAGCGTGTTTAATACAATAAACCTATCGATGCAATGCAGCAGGTTGAGGCGGCTTTCGATCCATTGCATCCACAAGTGACGGCGACAGCGCCACCAGGCGAAGCGTCGCGACGTCCGCCTCGCCTTGCCGAAGGTATGCCGCGGCCTTGACAGGGTCTTGTTCGTGTCGACGTAAGCGAAGTATCTCTCGGGCATTAAACCGGATCTTCTTTCCCATCAGAGGTGGAAACTCTCGAGCCACGCGACACACTTGCCGGTACAAGCCCACGCCGTTGGTCGCCATGTTCCTTTGAAGCAAGCATCCGGATAAAGCATCAAGATGGTCATACTGGTCGAAATACACGTAGTACTAACTTGTCCGAATAAGGTGCGCATTTGTATTAGATTCGTACCTTTAAAATACCATTACCTGTCGAAATACAATGTACGAGGTGCAAATTCTTGTTTCATTTTACGACAATCCGTAATATCTATCACAATGGCGGCCATTTTCCGGTAGCAATTGATGTCTGGTTTACTGTTAAGCTTAAATGCAAAAAGCTGGCAGCTGATAAGAAGTAGTACTTTCAATTTGAAAATGGTGAGTTGTTTCAAAACCGCCGAATCCAATCAAAACCGGATATTTATCCGTTGGCCCCTCTGTAAATCAATAAAATAATACTCCGGAGTACATCAAGTAATGTTAGTATAATCTAATTCGTTCAGAATTTCTTGGAGTAAAAACACTGGAATGGCAGCAGCCACCTGTCTGTCCTGCTTGTTTGGGGGTTCCTTTGTGTTAATAATTGATTTTCCTACGACTAAATAAACGCTTTTGTGGTCCTAACTTAGTTGCCACTCACTGGAGGGACTGCGCACGCCGCATGGACGGGGGGGGGATCCGTCGCGCCCGTCGAAATCGAAGTCGTGGAGGAGTGCAGCAGTGCCGTTCTGGGGCTTTTCGACGGACTAAACGAGAATGACGCCGACTTGCCAAACGTGATGGAATGCACGCGCTTCTTCTCTGGAGATGCGTGGGGGCCTTGGAGGTACCGCGGCGGTAGCGCGACATTCGACTTGTCCAATGGCCACTTGTTCATGCCAACTCCGCTTTGGCTGGCGGCCGTAGATGACGAGGGACTCGACCGGGTACTCAACGTTTTCACTTGCGGAGACACAAACATCGTCGCATGGGATGCCAGGTTATTCGTAGTGGACGCTTTTTTCAGCTGCAGCATGGGGGTGCAGTAGACTGGCACAGGTTTGGCCTGGATGGGCGTCGCTGTCGCCGTACGACGTGTGGGTGCGGCGCGGACTGGCGTTTTGGACAACGTGGCCATGGGTTCCTGCTCCCTAGATGGTTCCATATTGATAATCGACGTTGGAGTGACCAATGTTTCCGAAGAGGGGACTGTTTTCTCGGCACATGCAGTGGATGATGCAAACGAGAACGACTTGACTTGGTTCCACGACCGAGACACGACGCGGCGCTTCTGTGGGGAGCTCTGCACGGTTTTGAAGTACTTTGGAGGCAGCTTTGCCGCCATCGTCGCTACCACGCTGACAGCCGACGCTGTCAGCTCCGAGTGATTGGTGGTTGTGAAGCTCGCATGAACCTTTTCGAGGACCAAATCGGCTGCCTTGGGAGACGCCACAGGGGAAAACGGACCGTACTCATAAAAGCTCATCGAATCAAAACCCGTGTTGTCCAAATGCAGGCCGCCAAAGTCGTCCACGCCGTCGTCGAACCCGTCTTCCACGAGGTTGTAGCTCGGACAGAATGCATCAGCTACGAACGCTGACGTGGGCGCGGCGGCTGCCTCAATCGCCTTACCCCGCTGCATCCCACGCCCTTCCGCAAAAATCTCCATCTTGCACAGGTCCACGTCGAAGTTCATGTGGTCCTCCGCATCGTCCATAGAGATGACATCCACGGGGAGATCCAACAGCGACATGATGCGATTCCCCTGCCGTTCAGAACGAAAACTTCAAGAACATCAAAAGGCTGCAACTCGTGCAACAAAGGTTGGATGGAGACGGAAATGACAAAAGCAGGGACTTCGACCTCATTTCTCCCATACAAGGCAGAGATTCAACACCCTCAAATGGCACAACGGTGCAACCCGACCCCCCTATTGGCTCGAAACTGGTCTCCTCTCGCTTCCATTTGGTGTTTGTATGGACGTCGGCGAGATATGCAGCAATCATACAAATCACTAGTATAATGACGTCGACGCATTTGATTGGGCGACCATCGACGTCAATAGTGACGTTTGGGAGCCATGTTGATTGACAGAAGGAAAAGTTGAAGTTGGTGCAATATATTTCGATTTTGCAATATCATTCTTAATACTCCGGAGTTGTATATATTTACTACTGGTACTGCGTAGTACTACTAATAATAGTAGGGCTCATCGACACTTGGCTTACTAACTGACTCGGCTAGCTATGTATTTAGGTTACGCAATGGCTGCATTAGCTAGGTGTCCGAGTTTTCCTGAAATAGATGCTGGATAGTAAGTACTAGGTAGTAGCATACTAGTGCTACTAGTGATGGCTAGTACAGTAATACAGTGTACTGTATGTAATAGAGTAGTAGTAACTATTAATACTATTCAATTCAACAGCTCGTGTTCGTCGTTAGCGGCTCAAAAGAACGGGTTCGCGTTCGCTTGTTGTTGTTGCTGCGGGGGGAAGCCGCCACGGTTGGGCTGTTGCTGTTGTGGCTGGCCCATACCCGTCAACGCCCCAAAGCTTCCAAAGCGATTGTCTTGCTGTTGTGGTTGTTGTGGGGGTTGGTGGTATTGCTGTTGTGGGGGTTGCTGGCCATACTGTGGCTGCTGGCTAAAGGTCTGCCCTCCAAACCCGCCTGGCAAACTGTTGCGATTGCCATTGCTGCCAAAGTTCCCGCCTTGGTTGTACCCCGGGGTACCAAAGGGCGGTTGATTCAGTCCAAACGGTGGTTGTGGGGGGTTGTTTCTCGAACCCGTCCCAAATGCCGACATGCCCACTGCCCCCGACTGGTTGGCAGGGGGGGGAGCCCCCCCGAACGACCCTCCTGGGGCCCCCAGGGGGTTGATGTTTGCGAACGCCCCGCCGCCTTGTTGCGGTGCCTGGGTGAACCCTCCCCCCAATCCAGGTTGAGCCCCCCCAAACCCACCACCGGGCTGTTGTACCTGTCCACCAAAATTGGACACAGGGGTTGGCGCTCCGTAGCTAGGCTGTTGGCCTGGGAATCCACCGGGCAGTTGCTGGCCCGGAAAGCCACCAGGTTGTTGGCCTCCGTAGCCCCCCCCAACTGGTTGCTGCAGTCCACCAAACGGCTGAGACGGCGCACCAAATGGACCATTTGGTTGTCCAGGAAACGGTGGCTGTGGGTAGCCCAGCGGCGGGGGGACGCCGTAGCTTGGTTGGGGAAACCCTCCTTGGCCAAACGGGGGTTGTTGCTGCTGTTGAGTCGTCGGCCCAGCGTTGCCAAATGCGTTTTGAGGGGTTTGGCCAAAGCTGGCCATGATGTTGTTCTTGGCCGCTTGGTGGCCTCCTCCCCCTTGTTGGAATGGATCGTTGCCGCCACTCTTGGGTGCACTTGCAAATTGGCCACCATTTGTAGAGTTGCTCCCAAAGTTACTCTGCTGAGACGACCCGCCAAACGCCGCCCATTCGTCGTGCTTGGCGGCAGCAGGGGGCGCCGCTGCAAACGCGTCAAACGTCGGGGCGGGGGGGGGAGGGGCCCCAAAGTCGCCAAACAAAGCGGCGCTCGAAGGAGCGGCGGCAGCGGGTGCGGAAAAGTCGCCAAAGTTTAAAATATCTGCTGCCGGGGCGGCCGGCGCCGCCGCCGTCGCCTTGGACGTGCCTCTTCGCGTGGGGGGTGCTACACGCATTGCTAAGGCACTTGGTGACCAACATCTCAATGTATATATACCTGGTTGGTCATCGGCTTCGGACGCTTCGCTCTCGGACTCGACCACTTTCTTGGACTTGCTGGTGCTGTTGGTCCGTTTCGCCGACGGGTCGTCGCCATCCCGTGCGATAAATCGCTTTCGCTCGTACTTGTCGCGGATCCAGATCTCCTTGTCCCGAACGGGGGAGTGCTCTGTGGGAATGCGGTAGTCCTTGGGGACAAGGGCTTCAAAGTAGTCTTTGGCCTTGGCATTGCCCCACTTTTGCATTTGCTACAGACGCACAACGCATGAGGTTCACTCGTCATGGAAGAAGAAAACGAGTACGATCACGTACCGCCACTTGATCACCGGTCCACGAGTCAAGGTTGACACTGCGCACAAACGTGAGATGGACGCCAAGACTTCGATGGATCCCCGAGCACGCAATGCAAATGAACACCCCGAGGTTGATGGACGCCCATCTCGGACCGCGCGCGCCACAATCTGCGCAGAATCTGTTGTCGTCTCGCTTCATGAGCTCATCGAGGATCTTCTTGAGCTTGACTTGGTCGTCGGGCTTTCCAGCCTTCTTTGTCGCCATCGTGACGTGTCCGTCCAAACCCGAAATGCTCCACCCCAGAGATCCACATGGAGGTTTCTAGGGTTTCGCATGGGGGGTCCTACTGTTTGTAGGAAATAACAGACGCGTATTGTTTGAAATGCGTTTTATTTGGATAAAAAACGCTTAAAAGACACGTAAATGACATTTCGATCCGTTTGAAATATTGCAAACACGACCCCTGCCCCCCAAAAAAACCTGTATGAAACCCCCGACATATCCACATTTCGACTCACATCCTCCGCGAGAAGGTCGCCGTGACGATGGAGGCAAGCCCAGTAGAAGCAATCGATTCCTATCGCTAACTAGCATTGCTATTATGCCCATCGAGCCAAGGACAGAGGGTACACGTTTAAGTTAAGAAAAGCAAGTAACTAAGTTAGCCATGCCATTTTGACTGCGTTGTCGGCACACAGCCACCTTTGGTTTGATTGGGAGAGAGGGCCATCGTAGGTGCACGCAGGCCTTGAGTTTGGATGTAGTACATGCGTGTTCCTCACTGGATTGATAGCTACAGTAGCGTACTGACTACCGCGACGGACGGGAACTACACTTACATTGATGCCCACCTTGAAAGGCGGTAAAATATTGAGTTCGAGTAATGATATGATTGGCTTAAATCACAAGTTGAATTGCGTTTTGATTGGGTGATGTAATTAATACAAACGTTAAGTGTTCAACATCTCCATTTGGCAAATGACAATTCCGCGGAAACGGCGTGACTCGTTGAAGCGCAGCTCTGTGCGGAAGCATCATGAGATATACATCCCGACGAGCCCGATGAAGCAAGTGACAATCGTTAGCCCATCTCTGGCCAAGTTGAAGCCTCCAAGTCTCAATTTGACCGAGGCGGGGTTGGCACCTGCGACTCCGGCATCACCTCCTTCGCCAGCAAGCTCCCGACCACCGACGCCTCGCCCCGCATCTCCACGCATGAAGCCTCTGCGTCCTGTCCAACGAGCTCTCCTCGTCGACTTCCTCTACCGGGAGGTGTTTGGGATCATGGATATCAAGGAGAGCGACGGGCCACACAACCAACAGCGCGTGGTCGACTTTTTCAAATCGTTTGTCGAAATGGAAAAGCTGGTACACATCCCTCAACCTCGTACATACGTACTCTCGTCCTAGGCATGACCCGCGCACGTAGGTCATCTACGGTCTCGTGCTGTGTGTGGACAGCTTCCTGTATGTGTTCACGTACTTGCCATTGCGCATCATCCTGGCGCTGGGGTCGGCCGTCGTGTCGGTGTTCTACACGCGCATCTTTCGCCGCTCCCACGTCCACGACCTGCTCACGGCGGTTATTGTGATCCTCAGCACCGGCGTGCTCATGCAAGTGGACATGTCTCGCGTGTATCATCTCATTCGAAACCAAGCGCTCATCAAGTTGTACGTGCTGTTTACCATGCTCGAGGTACATAGAATCCATGCGATATAAATATATATATAAGAAATAATATATATATATATATATATATATATATAGATTTTCGACAAATTATTCAGCTCGCTCGGCCAAGACGTGTTGGACGCCATGTACTTTACCGTGCGGTACCAACCGCGCCGCGTCGGCCGCATGATGTTTGACTTTGCCGTGTGCAGCATCTATGTCGATATCCTTTTTGACGATATATATTATATATATATATATATATATATATTAGTCGGAACGAAGGTCCTTGACTAATCTGTGCACTCCTGCACTCCCTCCTTCTATTTGGCCAAGTGGTGACGATCAACGTCGCGATCCACTCGAGCAGTTCGTCCCTTATGACGCTGCTCATTTCCAACAACTTTGCCGAGCTCAAGGTACGAAAAGTTTATATATATATATTATGTACGCCATATATCAAGAGAATATTTTAGAGCAGCGTGTTCAAGAAATTCGAAGAGCAAAACCTGTTTCAGGTCGCTTGCAGTGGTACGATATATATATATATATCATGTTTTTTATGATATTATTCGAGATGATGCCTTTCTTGTAGATATTGTCGAACGATTCAAGCTCATGGTGATAATTGGGTTGATTCTGGTTCAAGTGGACGGCAAAGACGTGGCCGACGGCACGGTACGTAGTCTGGATGTCCCTATTTTCTAGAAAATATTTTTGATTTCATCCGAATATATATATATATTATTTAAAAGCTCATGACAAGGTCTTTCTGTGTAGTTTGTGGTGCTGGCGGCGGAAATGCTCATCGATTGGATCAAGCACGCGTTTATCAGCAAATTCAATCAAATTCCGCCGTCCGTGTACTCCAAGTTCCTCACCGTCTTGTGTCGGGACGTGTCTGGGTATCGCAGCGACACGGTATTCATCTCTCATTGCTGGCAATATATATATATGTATATTATTGTAGACTTTTTTGGACCATTCGCAATTTGTATCGAGACGTTTGGGGCTGATTTCGCTTCCGCTGGCGTGCGTCGTTCTGCGCATGCTGTTCAAAGCACTTCGAGACTTTGACCTGTGGAGCCAGTTGTACACTCCGTCGGGCATGTCCATCGCGCTCTTGGGCTTTGCCAACCTGTCTGCGTTCAAGGTCATTCTCGCATATATTCCCTCTCCAAACAGATATATATATATCCCGTACTGTTTGCCGTATTTCTATAAGTGTGTTTATTGTATATATATATATATATAGGTGCTGCTGAGTCTATGGCTGATGGTGCACTCGACTACGTCCGGGAGGTTGTCGCCTCAATGGAAAGCGTCCAGTCCTGCGAAAAAGGAAGGGCCCAAGGACGAAGGGTACGAGAGATTACAATCGAATCAAACTCTAGTATTGTGCTTTCGAGTGAAATTTCATTGTGTTGTGGTTTCTCGTTGGAATTTAAATCGATTTGATTGGCTACCTCAGATGAGTTCAAAATTGTTAGCCAATCAAAACCCATTTCTCAATGAAATTCAACCAATCAGATCGATTGTGGATCGGTTTGCGCGATTTGATTGCACCCCCTCCCCAAATTTGTATCAAATGGACAATATTTACAACATAAAACCATGCATGTACATAGAAGATAGATACTTTACAAACCATATATATATATATATATATAAATCCATGGTTCTTAGGTACACACTCTGGAAAGGACGCCTGCAATGAACGGATATAAAAGGGGACATAGCTCGACCAACACTCTCACGTGTGGTCTAAAAATGAATGTACTGGTGGTTTAACGTTGTCTATACTGAGCTGCACAGATTAAAATATCTGCCCCACTTGGCCCATGTGCTGCGCATGAGCCGACGGCAACTCGACGGCTTGGAGGTCGCCAAACGTGGCTTCGTACACATGGCCATCGAACGCATACCGAATGTACCTACCGCTTGATGTTAACAAAAGGTGCACAAAATACAGTCGCTCGTACAAATGCGGGTGCGTCGGGTGGGAAGTGTCCGCGGGGTCGTACAGGCCCATGGTTGGGTTGTAAAACCCCAACAGACCGGCCTTGGACGTGTTGGCCAAGTGCAGACGACCGTTCTACCCAACCGTTATTCACAAGTTTTGACCTTAAAACTTCACAAAACGTGACCAACATTCACCCGCACTTAATAACAAAACGTGCCCAAACATTCACATAACGTGACCAGGAAATCATATACCAAGTCACGAGTATTCACATAACGTGACCAAGAACGCACATATTGCGACCAGTAACTCACATATTACGACCAAGAACTCACAAAACGTGACCAAGACTCTTCACAAAACACGTCCAAGACTGCACTAATCAAGTCCAAAACGATTCACATAACGTGACCAAGAATAATCACATAATGTGACCAGGAAATCACAGAACAAGTCCAGATAATTCACATAACGTGACCAAAAATCACTAAAATTCACACAACGTGACCAATCAGGGACTTGTCGTACTTGAAGGAAGAATTGCAATGGAATGGTCACGTCCACGTTAAGGTCTTCGATGGACGAGTCGCTTTCAGGGTTGGTTGGCGCAGTCTACAAATCAACATATCAACCATATATAATGAACGAGCACGTTTATATATCACCGATGGATGCTGGCCGTATCGCGCGACGAGGATATTCACGCCGCCTTCCACGGCCGTGTTCTTGGCAGCTTGTTTCTCCATGAGGGTTTGCTGGGACAGGGCGCAGCGCCGCGCTTCCATCAGGTACGACACGCGTCGGGCGTGGGCCGACTGCAGCGCACTACACGGAATCAGTCGACCGAATCAGAATCAGACTACGCACGCTTGTTGTTTGCGTTTATGCGCCGGCTTGACCACCTGCCGGACCACAGCCGCCACCAGAAACGGCGCGGTCGCCGCCACGAACGTGTTCCAAGCGTTCGAAGTCGACAGCGGCGCGACCATCACGGGCACGACGAACCGGACGCTGCCTCGTGCAAACCTAAATAGTGTACGTCCACCGTGAAATAGTGTAACAACCCCCCCATGGACACCCGACGACATCGTACCCGATGCGGACGGAGATGCCTTGCAGCGCAAAGCGAAGGCCCATGCTGAGTCGGCTGCGACGAGACACCTTGCCCGACGACCCCAACGTGAGTGCGGCGCCGCCCACGCCCAAGTCCACGGCAACCTACGTTTAATTGATGAACACGGTATTGCAACCTATACTGTCAATTTTCTTGCAATTTTCCCAATCATATTGTCAATTTTCTTCCAATTTCGCACATTTTCACAATATTTTGGTCAACCTAGCATAAACTATTGCGCCGAGACATGTCATTGGCTAATATACTTTAGATTGTAGCCAATCAGAAACAAATATAGGTGTCGATTCGATTGAATAGGATCCGGAAAAAACATTTGATAACCGAATCGCATATTTATATCGACAACGAGGGTCACCTTGGCCGAGGATGACGTGGTCACTTGCTTGCGCACGCTGAGCCCAAGACTCGGTCCCTGGGCTCGAACGGCCGCCGTCGCGGTGGACTGCCACGTGTTCTGGTGGAACTGCAAACTGGATACGAGCCCAGTGTTGGCGCTGAGCATCATGCTGCCTTGGAGTGGCGCATATTGCGGTAGCAGACGCATCACGTGATTCACGCCCACCCTCACGTCCAGGCCGTCCACCGTCAGTTCCGGCATTAAAAAGCACGATGTCACACTCGACACGGGTTGTTCCTGACATGATCACGTCATCACGATCACGTCATACGGTGATGACATACCAAGTGCACACTCAACTTGGGCGTCCATCCCACTTCGCTGTTCAAGTGGATGCGTAGCGCCGTCGGGTCGGCCGTGATGTAATTGATCCCGCAAGTCAATGCGCCCAACCCCAGACCGTGCTTGTCATACAGGTACCCGCCCACGACCACCGTCGTGTTGCGCGACACGTCGATGCTTGTGGACTGCCGCATGACCATTTGGGAGATCCCGATCATGCGAAACTGCTTGTTGAACACCTACATAGTGTATATGGCTTCGTCGTCAGGGACGAAGCTGGCAGGTACGTATGTACGTACCTGCTGGAGCGAGTAGAGAGGATGCTTGACAAAGTCCCGGGCGTCCACTTCGACTTCGCATTCAGTGTGTGAAGAGAACGGCGCTTCCAACTGCTTTTCGTACCATCGACGCATCAACACTCGAACCCGCTCTTGCACGTACTCGTCCGAGTGCACATAGTTTGCGACTGCCCATTCGTCCGCGGACTTGTCCTCCTCCAACGCTACAACTCCGCGCTCGCCATACTGGTCGTACGCCAGTCGAAGCGGCTGGGAACTCAGCACCTTGTACGCACGGTCCAACCGCGGGTACTGTTGGTTCGCATCGTCAGTGTGCGTCGTCTTGTCCGGGTGGAACTCGCGACTCAGCACGAAGAAAGCGCGACGGATTTCCTCGGTGCTGGCGTCGCGGTGGACGTTCAAGGCCGCGTAGTAGTCGGCGTCTGGCGCCACGTCAAACCAAATCGGCGGCAGGTCGGCCATGCTGATTGATGGGTTCTTTGCAATGGCATCATCCCACCAATACCTTTTTCCGGATAATATTTGGATGATTTTGCAAAACTTTGCGAAATTCAAAGCATTGTTGCCCTTTTTTGCGAAATTCAGATAGTGGGGATACAGTAAACAAATGACGAAATCACGAAACGTTATTATTGGCTAATCTAATTTTGAATGGACCTGATTGGCTCTTATGAAAGGACAAGGAAATTCAGCCAATCCGAGGAATAGAAGATAAACAACCAATTGAATTTGGGAACGTTTGCGAATTCACCCAATACTACAGTACGAAGTACCTTTGTTGCAAATACATACAGGACTATTAGTACAGTACATGAATGTTGCATTTTACCAGTATCTACAATTGAAGTACTGTATACAATAATTGACCAGATACAAACTATCGGTGATTATTTTCCGAATCCAATTAATTGCATAAGCCAGCTGTATTATAACTTGATATTATTAATCTTCACCGTTACACTAATAGTCGGGGCACAAGAACGTTTCTTCTCGTTGTCGGTTCCTTGTCGCAGGCTGGGCCGACGGCCGCTGGAGCAGCTCCGTCTGCGTCTCTCGGCACCGTACGAGGCAGTGCACACACACCCGCACCCGCAGCTGCTTCATGCCAAAGCCAGTGGGCACGTCCACCTTGGAATTGCATTTGCGACAGATCACTTCACCACACATGCGACAGTGGTGTCTAGTTCGCAGGACAAACTGGAACGCGAGGTCGCAAATAGCACAGCTGGAGCGCGCGGCGTTCTGCACCCAGTCCAATGGGTCCATGATTTCGATCTTCTTGAGCCGCTGGCTTTCGCAAAACAACCGCATGTTGGTTAGGCGTTGGATCACGGCATCGGAGAGGCGGTCCACCTTTGGCTTTCCTGGCATTTTCCAGTCCATATGGGCAGCGTACGTGACTTCAACCACGCCCCAGGTGGCCGTGTCGGCGACTACATACACCTCGCTTCGAATCGACGCCCTCGTGCATCTGTACACAGACCCACCATGATGATGATGGATATCTTTATGGAAGGAATGGGGAAGTACTTGCCCTGGAATCGGCGGGCATCCCTTGACACGAATGGATTCGACGATGCGAAAGCCCATCCATAGCTTATCCGCTGTCTGGCATACGTCCGTGTAATCGAGAAACACCATGTCGAACGTGGACGGCTGCCCTTGATCGACGTCGCCGGTGACGGCAAGCCACTTGAGGCCGCAATGATAATGCGAGCTGTCATGCTTTGCGTCCGAGAGGCACGAGTCCAGAACCTTTGCCCCGACGAAATCGTCTCCCAGGATCTCCTACGAACTGGTTGAGAACGGTATTGTTTATATGTAGATATACCTTTTGACAGGCGACAAACGATTCCGTGTCGTCCGCACAGAGCAGCGCCATGACGTCCTTCACGGTGCCGTTGATACGTGTGACCGCGCGGATGTCTTGCCACATGAGCCGCGATTCGTACACGTCCACTCCGTTCTTGGACTTGACCAAGTCACGCACGACGTCTGGCGACGAAAACTCGAGAGCCGATAGCTGCCGCGATTGAATGTACTTGTAGCATGTGCGCTTCTCGGACACTCCTAAACTATGCTTCATGGGCGTCGACCTCACGACATCTGAAGGTGATGTCCCTCCACCCACGGCATTGCGAACCCTCGAAATCATGCTATGAGGATGGAAGGGCACTACAGTCGAAGTGAACATGTTCGAAACCTGTCCACAAGTCAGGCTACACAACAAAAAATTCGTCTAAAACAGACAATGTGACAACGACCTGCATTTTCTTTACGTTTGCAACCCCGCTGCAATGTCGTGTGTTGCAAACACTCGTGTTACAGTACTTGTACAGCCTAATTTTTGGTTGACCAAAACTGTAAGTATCGACTAACGTTAGACTTCATTTTAGCTTTGGTTTTACCGGTTGTACAACAGTACGTACGTACAGTAGTTTATTGTGAATAATACAGCTACAGTATGGAGATCACAAGGAAGCAAAGAATAGGACGGACATTTGTGTGAGAATGCCTTTTGGAATCGCTCGATCAATCCCAGTATCATGTAACGTACTGCGAGATTCTAACAGTAAGTCGACGACTCAAGTCGTGGAAAGTACATGTATGTAGGCTGAAGTCAGGGAGCATCCATTGTTATACAGTACTAGGTTGAAGTGGTAGTCAGTGGGTCAAAGGTCAAGTGGAACATCCAGAGTGTTCAAAACATGTTTTCAAACGCAACATACATACGTAACGTTATCATACATCAAACGGTCCAAACAGCAAACGGAAACTTTCAGACGTAAAAGCTTGGCGAGATTGCACGAGCAAAAACAGGACTGGTGCTTACTGTTTCTTTCCTCCGAGTAACTTTCAATGGTAAACAAGCCAAACGCGACCAATTGCAGGTGCAACTGGACAATCTTTAGGAGTCTGGGCGATTGCCATGGAAGCTTGGAACGACGTCAAGGTTCACAGCAGCATCAGCGCCTGCAAACTCTGTCGATGTTGGAGAGGTTGAAGTGTGCCACCATCTTTCGGACGCTGGAGTGGCTGCAGGGTGCTAGGAAATATGACGATCTGCAGAGAGAATTTTCATGTAGCATCCATCGGCCATGGACTTCTGCAGCAATAGGGCAGATGATTGGGAAATAACTAGTTAGATTATTTTCCAGCAAGCGATGGATTACAGTATTTCCGAGCGAGCGCTCAGAATAGTAGAGTAATTTCGAGCAAAGTTGGTACTTACAGTTATTAATAGTATTAATTGGAACGTTTTTTATCCCAAGGAAAACATTTGTTTTCCTTGCGAAATCCCGAGAGAACTTAACGTACGATACTCAAAATACCTTACATAGTAACCACTCGCACTCGGTACTACCAGTATTGGTTACAGTAGCGTAACGTTAACCCATGTGAAGGAGCATTAAAATGCATTCATCGCGATTACGGAATAAATGGGTTACAGGGCTATGGGATATCGGGGTTCCGAGGTTACAGGGCTACGGAGTCAGACAGCCTTACAATTTGACCGTGTCAATTAATTGATGCATTATTTTATTGTTATCAATAATATCAATAACGTTAAGGTAACGCATCGAATTCTCGGACACTAAACTTTTAACCAATAGATGCACTCCATTTCTGAGGGATTGCGTACTATTGGCTGTATTATTACTATGTGCGCACCCTATTGGCTGAATTTTTATTCGACCCAAAATTATTTTTAGTACCATACAAATCCTAGATGTTACGATTCCGAGAAATAGCGTTTCACAGACGATTTCTGCAAAGCAATATTAAAATTCACAACTCTCAGAGTTGTAGGTCAATTTGTGCAATTCGTCGCTCAATAAACAGATTTTGAATTATATTATCCAGACATGTTTTCTATGTTTCTGAATTCTTCTTACTTTTTGTATGAGAATGGAATTGAAAATTTGCGTCAAATGTTCATTACCTTACTGTGAATTCGCTATAAACTACTATTAATAGTACTATTAATAGTACTACGTAATGTTAGTACAAAATTGGCGTGGTTTGTCTAATCTAACTTAACTATAGTTTTCTTCGGACTACACTTGAAATGAGTTGCATTGACGTGATGAATAGCCAGGGTCACTGTCGCCTCCTAAATTTGAGCGGAAGATGCGTCGATGGAAATCAACTTCCAAAGTATGTTAGTAGGTGCTAGTATCTACTAAAATTCTGATTCGGCTTCATGGATTGGCTATAATTACCATTAACACATCGTTTTATTGGATGGCCAAGGTTCATGAAATCATCAAGGACTTGCCCTAGGCAGGAACTTCTCCATCAATTGACACACATCGTTCTCCACCATCTACTTCGCACAACACAGTATCTAATCCTTCATTGAAGCCCTTGTGTCTATTAAGCCTTATTGGAGTGAAGTAAGTGAACGCTTTAATGACAAAAGGTGCTGACAGTCCCTGCCATTTTGTCAATGGATGACAGCCAAATATCTAGCAAAACAAATTTTCTTCCGGTTGAATCTGAGACATTTTTGAAATAGAACCACGCTCGCATTTTGTGAAGACGAAAAAATCGTCTTCGCAAACATTGCATTTGCGAGCGAACCTCTCGCATCGACACTGTAAAATTTGATATGATCGAAATACATTTTCAAAGGCTTTGGCATCGTGCACAAATTTTCTCGCAATCTCACCGGGTAACGAAGGCAGGTCGAGCCAAGTCGTGGAGTGCCTCGATTGCCACCCATCGACGTCGGTTAAAAAAATACACGTTATCCGGACTCGCAAATTTGTTTGCGAGAGGCACTTGCGAGATATTTGCAGTCACCCAATATTTCATGCATGTTTTGCCCAAAATTGGAGTAAATCACGAGTAGTTTCGAAACTGCCAAATTCGAAATATTTCAAATTTATATTACACTTTCTTTGTACGACCCATCCCAAAAGGTCCCTAAAATATAGTTCCCCAAGTCGAACTAAATAACCCCAACAGTGATCATCGCACAATACAGTATTCAAGTTAGTTTTCGAAAAAGCGCTGGCGATGGAAGGCCCAACTAAAACTGCCTTCGACCCGACGGTTTCCCCTCCAACGAGAATAACTGACGACACAATCAATCATCACCAAATACTACATTACAATTCCTTGTGGCGCATGGTCGCGACGTCGAACCCAGGCATGTTGAACTGCGTCGCGAACGTGTTGACGTCGTCGCGCAATTGCTTGACGCCGGCATGCGAGGCCAAGGCCGCGTTAAAGTCCGAGATCTTCTTGCCGCTGGTCACTTGGATTTCCAAGGCCAACTGCACGGCGCGGTGGAGGAATTCCGCCACATGAACAAAGTCCGACTCGGTCAACCCGCGCGAGGTCAGCGCGGGGGTGCCGACGCGGACGCCGCCGGGGGAGATAGCGCTGCGGTCGCCCAGGACCGAGTTCTTGTTGAGGGTGATGCTCGCCACGTCGCAGAGCTTCTCCATCTTGGCGCCGGTGATGCCGGCAGGACGGAGGTCCCAGAGGAGCAAATGGTTGTCGGTGCCGCCAGTGGCCAGCACGTACCCCTTGTCGGTGAGCGCCTTGGCTAGGGCGCGGCAGTTGGCCTTCACCTGGATCGCGTATTGCTTGAATTCAGGAGTCTGCACTTCCTTCAATTGCGTGGCGATGGCGGCGATTTGGTGCTCGTGGGGGCCGCCTTGGAGACCGGGGAACACGGCTTGGTTGATCTTGACTTCAAAGTTACGCGCGTCCTTGCGGTAAAAGATCATGCCGGCACGGGGGCCGCGGAGGGACTTGTGGGTAGTGGTCGTGACGATGTCGCAGAACTCGAACGGGTCGTTGTGCTCCTTGGTGGCCACCAAGCCAGAGTAGTGGGCCATGTCGCACATGAGCAACGAGCCGTTGTCGTCAGCGATCTTGCGGAACGCAGAGTAGTCCCAGTCACGGGGGTACGCGCTACCACCGCACACGATGAGAGCGGGCTTGAAGAGGCTGGCGGATTCGGCCAACTTATCGAAGTCAATCAGACCGGTTTCGGGGTGCACGCGGTACGGCAAGCTTTCGAAGTACACGGACGTGGCAGACACGGCCTTGCGGGTGTTCTCGGCCTTGCTGTACGTGTAGAAACCGTGGGTCAAGTGGCCTCCACTGGGCAAGTCCAAGCCCATGATGCGGTCATGAGGACGCAACAATGCCGTGTACACGGCAAAGTTGGCGGGGGAGCCAGAGTACGGCTGGACGTTCACGCCCCATTCGGCAGGGTTCAACCCGTACGCTTGCAAAGCGCGGTCTTGGCAGAGCTGCTCGATTTGGTCGATCACTTCGTTCCCGCCGTAGTAGCGTTGGTTCACGTAGCCTTCGGCGTACTTGTTGGTCAAGCACGAGCCCAAGCAGTCCATGACGGCGCGGGACGTGAAGTTTTCAGACGCGATGAGTTCCAAGCACTTCCATTGACGGTTCTTTTCGTGCTCGATCAAGTTGAACAACTCAGGATCGTGGTGTTCCAAAGGGGTGTTGCCGGCAGGGAAGCTCATGTTGTTGCTTGAACGACGCAGATGTGAAAGTGAGCAGGTCCGTGGCCACGAAATGCGAAGAAGTTTGCCATGGAAGTTGCAGTTCGGACCATTTGTTTTAGTGTGCCATAATAATTTAAATACCACACCTTCTATATGCGTCTAATTATGCTGAATTAATCCTATTGAAATATTTACGACCGTGGGTAATTTAATTTCATATCGACCCGACCTCTCATACCCCCTCAAAAAATACCATAGATTCCACCTGCCCACGGCTCCATCTACACCTCCGGTACTGACTGCCGCGGGGATCACGGTTACCTCATTCGAGACAAGACAGGGAGCTTTATACACAACGTTGTTGTGAGCCATCCATTTGACAAGCGCTCTCCAATCAATCATTCTTGCAAGAGTGGGAATGCGTTTAATTGCGGGCCGCCGAGTCCAAGTGTCCTAAATACTCCTCGAAAGGACGTCTAGGTCACATTTTAGCCAATCAAAACGTGTTGAGGGACAACCTCTCACATGACAATTGGTCTGGTGCCACATCCAGCGCACCGGTGCGCAGAGGCACGAAAGTAGCACATGGATAGCTAAGATGATATTGCCATTAATTTGTAACCACAGTATACTAGATTTTGGTTACTCTTTGTATCAAAGCATTTTCTTCGAGTAGATTGTGATGAAACATGCATATTTATGTACGTAATTGCGTACTACAAAGAATGATGTGAGGTTTGCGATCCGATAAGGCACAGAAAAATCCTCTGGAAGTTGCGGGAAGGGAACAAACAACGCTTCGCAACCCCTGTCGTTTGAATGAAGCGCACGAAAATACTGTAAGGTAAAGTTAAAATTAGAGCATCTATGGTGCAAGTCATCTAAAGACTACAGATCGGCCATCCTCAGGAGGAGACGTTTTACTATTAAACGTCTCGGTTCTTTCAGTTAAACCCACGAAATGTTGACGTTAAATCATTATTAGTTACGTTTTTTACCTGGTAATTAGGTTTAACATTGTGAATAATCCGGATACAATGAAAACGTTCGTACGGATAAGTGCTGTATACAAAGACCAAGATATACTTGATACTCCTTGTCGGCCAAAATGTACCTGGTTCCTTATATCTCCGTACAAAAAGGCCGGTTGGTTTAAATTCTATTACTCGATCAATTTTTCACCAATCGAAAATCTGAACCGTAACTTCTGTTGAGCTTATCCTGTTCTATCGTTATTACGGTATATTTTCCTAAATAATATCAATACAAAGTTGGAATAGCTGTCGAAAGTCAAGGCATTTATTTGTAGTCTTTAGGTGACTTGCACTATATCTCCCCGTAAACACAACGGTAATGTTGCCTGTCAAATAGTACTACAGTAAGTATTAATACAAAGTTGGAATAGCTGTCGAAAGTCAAGGCATTTATTTGTAGTCTTTAGGTGACTTGCACCATATCTCCCCGTAAACACAACGGTAACGTTGCCTGTCAAATAGTACTACAGTCGAGTTTTGGTGCAAGGCGACTTTGTATTCGATTCCGCTTTTCAAAACGTATAACGTTACGTATGGACTTCAAATTTTGGCCGCCAGTTACGATGCTTTTTGGAAAAGTATCCACTGCATTCCACTAGAATACCGTTGCGTATTTTTAATATAAAATAAGTATGTCATAATTTAGAAAGATAACATCGAAATATAACATCAGGTTAACATAAGCTAAGGGCCTGGTCGGGGAATGTTTTCGTTCGTGCTTCT